ATACCAACTTTTTTAACAAACAAAATATATTGCAAGTATGACGCTAGTTATGAAAAAGACAAGCACTATATTTTAGTTAGCTAATCACTCAAAGAAGCAATAATGTTAGAGCATTTTTAAGAGACTCTTTATTTATAAAGACTATCTTATAAACTATATAAAACATCTTTAAATTTAGAGAGACAAACTTTTCATACTCTCCAGCTCTCTATTTTGGCTTTTCATTTTACTTTTCTCAAAAAATATTTATTGATTTTTTTTATATTTTATTTAACATAATTTTTTTTTTATGTCAATTAACCAATCAATTTAAATTTGATTTGAATAGTTTTAAATAGGGGTGTCCAAAAGTTTCGAATCGAATCGGATCGAATCGAACTCGAACTGAACCGAATCGAGCGGTTCTTCATAAGTTAAATACCCGAACGGGTATCCGAATTGAGAATCGATGGGTTAGGTCGAGTCTAAACCAAGAACTAAATAAGAATCGAACCGAATCGACTCACGGACAGCCCTAATTTTAAAAGTAGAGTATTGAAATGTGTGATTTATTAAATACAATAATTATACATTAATAATACATAGTGAGTTGACTCTCTAAAGTTGAAAAGCCAAACACACTTTCTATTTTAAAAAGTTAAATTAGAGAGTTTCTTGAAAACACTCTTAATAATTTATAAGCGTTACCAAATATAATAAATAGGATTCTTTTAAGAATCAATAACATTTTATTTAAAAAATTAAGTTTTGATTACATAAAACTTGGAAAATAAAAATTCGAAAATAAAACAAACAAAATGGAAAGAAAAATCATTTCTAAGTGAAGAAAAACGTAATTGTGTCAGCTTTTAATAAAAAGGAAACTCTTTGTCATGACTAGCGTCACCTTCTTCAAGCTTATTGCACAATTTTCTTTGTAGATAGCGTGTAATCAACCAAATTTTGATGAAACATGAACGCAAGAAATGAAAGGGTTTTTCTTTAGTTGAAAATGAAATAAACCTTTAGTTATGAAAGATTTAGTTGAGTGTTAAATAGTTTCGACGACTTTTTTCTTTGAACAATTAGCTTGTGGATCTCACATGAAGAAAATAACGTCGAAATAATGGAATTATGTATAAAGTATCAATCAACTTATAAAAAAGCGAACTCTTTGTCATGAATAGAGTCACCTTCTTCAAGCTTATTGCACAATTTTCTTTGTAGATAGTGTGTACTGAACCAAATTTTGACTAAACTTGCAGGCAAGAGATGAAAGTTCAACGAAAGAAACCTTTAGTAGTGAAATGTTGAGTTGAGTGTTAAATAGTTTTGACGACTTTTTCATTGAACACTTGGCTTGTGGAACTCACATGAAGAAAATAACATTGAAATTATAGAATTATGTATAAATTATGATACATGCAAATGAAACTAGATGATAGTCGAATGAAGCTACAACCATTTTCATACTATTGCCCATGTTTGATGGTTATTATTTTGAGAAAATGAACTTTTGAATTGCGATTTATCGGAAAATGTGTGGTTAAAAGGTAAGAATTTTTTTTGAATTTATGTACAAAATATTTTATTATGTAAATACGTGATCGGAAATTAGTATAAGAATTAAAGAGTTGAAATAATAGTTGTCAAACAGGACTAAAGAACTTTAAAATTTATATTTGTTTGTTTTTAAATGAAAAATTAGAAAAGATAGGGAGGTCTATATAACTAATCACTGTTACCAAAAAACGAAGAATATTGAGAGACACCACTTTAAAGCTAAAACATTCTCCTCCATTGCCCAACAATAGTGTCTTCTTCTTCATGGATAATCATAGCCACAAAATTGAGCAAAAGTGGTACTCTTTCCATTGCCATTACAAGGACATATAAATCCCATGATTCAGCTGGCCAACATCCTTCACCAGAAAGGATTCAATATTACAATTATTCACATTAAATATAATTGTCCAAATCTCTCCAACTACCCTCATTTCACCCTTCACTTAATCCCTGATGGCTTATCTGAAACTGATGTTTCCACATTAGAATTTGTATTTCTGTTCAAACTTCTTGACGACAAATGTGTTAAGCCATTTCGTGATTGTTTGGCTCAATCTTTATCTGATGATCCTATAGAATGTATAGTTACCGATGCTGTTTGGTATTTCACACGACAAGTGACAACCTTAAGAGTCCGAAAATTGTATTCCGGAAAAGCGGTTAACTATTAGCCTTTGCAGCTCTGCCACTTCTTCAAGACGAGGGTTACCTCTCTATGAAAGGTATGTTTTCCTTTTCTTGGATATTTGGCTCAGATGTAATTGGATAAAACCAAAAAAATAAAAATAAAAAAAATAAAAAAAAATGAAACCAAGGAAGATGACAAAAGAAAGCAGTTGAGAGAGATAAGAACGAAGGGAGATGACGAAAGGAAGCGGTTGAGTGATAAGAGTATGTAATTTAAATATTTTGATTATTGAGTTGATTCTCCCTCTGTGAACTACGTAAGTTTGTGTTTTATCTCTCTATTTATTTTTTTACTTTTGATGTGTTTATTAGGCTGCATTGATGATTTTTCCCAACACTTTCTAACCTCTCCCTCCCCTCGGAAACTCTGATCAATTCATGAGATAGGACACAATGGCCAGAATTTCATTTCT